AGATATATATATATATATATATATATATATATATATATATATATATAGGGACGCACTCAGGTGCGAATAAGTGCCCAGGAAGGAAATGCGAACGAATCAGCGCGCGACACGTGTCCAGATCTAATAACTTAAAAAAAAATGCGGTGGCATTTTCGTAAATAATTGAACATCGAAGTGCAAGTAAAATCTCTTATAAGTGCATCTACTTTCACCTATAAGTGCATGTAATTTTGCCTTGTTAGCATTCACTTCCTGCAAACATTCATGCACCTGGGTGTGCTTATAACTATGTGTGCAACTATTTATAACTATAGGTGCAACTACATATAACTGTATGTGCACCTACTTTCACCTATAAGTGCATTTAATTTTGCGTTGTTAACATTCATTGATCTGAGTTCGCGGGTAGTAATACTCTTGAAAACCACTCGCAAACATTCATACACCTAGATGCAACTACTTATACCTATGTGTGCAACTACTTAGAACTATTGGTGCAACTACTTAGAACTATAAGTGCAACTAAGTATTGATGCTCAGTGTAAATTTTTACTTGCACCTATGATACATTTTACATGCACTTGTAATACATTTTACTTGCACCTCGATGTTCAATTATTTACGAAAATGCCACCGCGTTTTTTTTAAAAATCAGTGTTTCTCATCCATTAGATCTGGACACGTGGACGAACAGAATCCATTCCTATTTCGCGCCTGGGCGAGTCGTTCGCACCCGAGTGCAAGTCTATATATATATATATATATATATATATATATATATATATATATATATATATATATATATATATATATATATATATATATATATATATATATATATATATATATATATGCAGTCGGTGTGAATTCATCATTAGGTATGTAAAAATGCACAACACAGTGTTTGAAAATGCATCACAATGAAATACACTAATTCATCACACTGCCGCACCACACTTAATGATACATTTTTAACATTTTGTAGTGCATTTGTGCATATCTAATGGTGAGTGGTCGCACAGCCGTACGGAAAGTACTATCTGATCCGGAATTGATATATATATATATATATATATATATATATATACATATATTTGTTATAATATGTCATGGGTTCAAGTATCTCCAGCAACATTTTTTTTATTTTTAACATTTCATGGACCGTCCCTGCATGCAAGTTGTAATTAATATTTAAGAGAACTGTGGGTATATGATACTGATGCTTTCTAGCTAGCAGCTACATGTTATTTATGACATTAATTGTGTAGGGTTGATTATATCGTCGATTGTGTGGTTCGGTCGGCTATCAACGTTAGCTGCTTCACACATTCAGATTATCAACTTGTCATTTGCTTTAATTTACTAAGCTTTGATGTGACATTAGATTATGCAAATTTACTGTATTTAGAAAAGGAATCTTATTATTGTTTCATTTCCTTTTCTCTTTCTACTTTTATTTTTTACAAATTGAAATATACTCATGTTATAATCATGGTTGCAATAGAAGCTAGGCACTAGTCGGGCGATAGAGTAGCGCGTAGCGCCTAAGTGGTCTAGGCGGCTAACTAAAAAAAAAACATTGTACGTGTGTAGTAGGTGCATATATGTCATTTTATACATACATACATACATATATATATATATATATATATATATATATATATGTATATATATATATATATAGAGAGAGAGAGAATTATATTCAAATACAAACAATCCTTAAAATACAAACGTGTGGATTCATTAGGATCGTTGGATTTTGGGATTGGATCAAGGATTTGTTTAATTATTTATGCTATTTTTAATGATATAATCAACTGCTGTATTTTAGTGGGGTATTTTTGGATTTTTCCTTTTGTTAAATTTGTTCTATTCCTACAGAAATTCAATCACCATTATCGTACGCGACTTTCCCGGGCTCCATCTCTCTCGTTTCCGTGCACTGCCAAGGTTCTCCCTCTCCGTCGATTCGCATTCTTCATCAGCCGCCACACGATGGTCGCCGGTGGGGATTGCGGTGGAGCCAAGCGACGGGGACCACCATCTCAGGGTTTAGGTCGAGGTATTTTTACCATGGGTTAAAAATAAATAATTTCACACAAGTGAATGCACATTTTCATTAATTATGTGTGTGCTCTACTTCATAAATTTTTACCATGGGTTAAAAATAAATAATTTCACACAAGTGAGTGGTTCACTGTTAGCGTATAGGCTTAGTAATTACAAATGTGTGTGCGCAATGGTGTTACACAGTGTGCCAAGCTCTGCTGAATACCAACCATGGGTAAAGCTAAAAACATACTAGTTCCATATAATCGTATATGCTCAGTTTGTAAATACGTGGGTGTTTCTTCTCATTAAATACTGTGCGTGCACACTTAAACACATCTCAACCATCAGTAAAAACTAAATCAATTTCACAGCAGTGAATATTTCATTATTAACTTTTAGGCTTTCTAATAAAAATCGTATGTGCACAATCGTGTTGAACAGTGTGCATAGTTTATTCGAACTAAGTACCAACCATTGGTAAAATTCAAACGTGTGACAAGTATATAATTCAACTTCAAATGAAGTTAGTATTCGTATTGTTATAAACCATGGGGGTCTATTCCTCTGATAGGTCTTTCCTGTCTGACTATTGAACTATATATTAGCTTTTAGGCTTAGTTAATAAACACGTGTGTGCATAAATGCGTGTAACTGTGTGCAAGGTTAAAAATATATATATAAATGAGAAAAACGAGATTAATTCAATGTTATCTTAAACGCGTAGTTTTAAATACATGGGTGCACGTGGACACGGATCTGTGTGCACGCACAATGGAGTTAAAATGTGTGCAACACTGGTTATAATTAAAGGACTAAGAAAATGTTATAATTAAATACTTCCAAATATGATAATAGATTATAATTGGTCACGTAGAAAAACAAGTCCAGGAGTAGCCAGCGGTTTGGTGAAGATGTTCGCAATTGGTCTTTAGTGAAGATAAAATTAAATTGGAGCTCCCCTTACTGACTTTGTCACGAACAAAATTGATAATACTAGAACTCACTTTGTATAAAAATATAGCGAACCAACCCACTTTGTATTAAAAAAAAAAAAAAGATTGAAATGCCTTTGTATTTAATTACATTTTAACAATTTTGTTGACAGATGACCCAAAATAGTCATGCCACAATAATACTAGAATCAAAGGTGGATGCTCTAAAAAAGAATGACTAAAAGTGAATTACCACCTATAACTCTAGAACAAAAAATGAAATTATATATATATATATATATATATATATATATATATATATATCATTGTTTAGGTGAGTCCACCTCTTCTCATGAGTATGTGTGGACAAATTAAATCTATACCATTGAATACTTGAGATCAATGACATAGATTTCAACAACTGTGCACTTCACTTTCACATTTCGTGATGCATAGTTGGCGCAATCTATGCCATTGATCTCAAGCATCCAATGGCTCATATCTATCCACACGGACTGGACTCATTTGATCATGAGTCTATATATATATATATATATATATATATATATATATATATATATATATATATATATATCCAACAGATTACGTAGCATTATGGGTTTGTTTCTTTTTCTCTTTTTGTTTTGTCTTTTGCAATATTCTCACCCATTTCAGAACTTAGTCTTTTACTCTAAAGAGGTATCTGCTTTTGATAAATTTGGTTACATGCAACATAAAGAAATGTGTTCTTTTTGCAGGGGTAATAGTTGCCATTAAGTAACTTAGCTATATAGGTTACTAGAAAAAAGTTTCCACTTAACAAAACGCACCATCCAATTTATCCAAAAAGTGATCTATTAATGTGACAAAAAACGATCAGATAAAGAATGGTAAGAATTTCGCAACTCACATTATTAGTCGTCACATGCATACTGTAACTTGAAATTTATGGGTAAAAAAAATGCAGGCTTGGTTTTTATTATACTGATTGTTTAATTAGTTTTTCATTCAAGGTTAATAGTATACATTTTTACGTGTTTTTTTTTTTTTTTTTTGGAGATACAGTTTTACGTTTTTAGTCACTAAATTATGAAGTTAGGGTGTGATTTGTGGGGAAGAATATAAATAGAAGGTGAAGTTTCATTTCTAGCTCTAGTCAATTAGAATTTTATAGGGTAATAGTAAATTTTAATAGAATCGTACCCATTAATGAAATGAATGAAAATACTACTTCGTCAGTAATTCTAAGAACTAAAAATGGTAGTTAGTAGATATACAAGAAAATTTGATTCCGCTCTTACTTTGAATTCAAATATTAAAAGTACAAATTTTCTTAAAAATTATTCTTTTGTCAGTTAATAATCAAATAACACGTTTTTGATATACTCCCCATGTCACATTTTATCTGTCTTACTTATTATTCATTGATCAAAATAACTCTTTCTTCTTTGTCTATTTTCTTTAATATTCTTTTACTTATTTAAAAAAAATTGTCTAATTGTATTTTTAGTGTAGTTTCTAAATATATAAATTTTAGTGTACACTGCTGGAAATTTGCCATTTTCCGACCACCGAAAAGTGGTCGGAAATGGCCTTAATTAGGTCGGAAAAGCCTGTTCCGACCTCTTTTCCGATCAATTTGGGTGTCCGGAAAAATACCTCTAGCTATTTCCAACCACCAGAGAGAGTGGTCGGAAAGAGTAACCACTTTTCTAAAGCCGTCGAAAAAAATGGCCAAGAGAATAGTTAGGCCGGTCCAGATTTTCCGACCGCCAGTGGTCGAAAGTTTCGACCACTTTGGTGGTCGGAAAACTGGACGCAGTCAATAAAAAAAATCATTTCATTACAGAGAAATCTCTGTAATGAAATGAATATATATATATATATATATATATATATATATATATATATATATATATATATATATATATATATATATATATATATATATATATATATATATTGTTGCAAGCTGGTAAGATATTTGCTAAAAAATCATAAAATACACATTTCATATTCTTGAAGAGAATTCATTCATCAATATGTTTGAAGATATTTGCTACTATTGCTAGTTTTTCCATTTCGACAAAATCATCCATTAGCCTCATCTCTGAAACTCCAATCATTTTCTGTTCAGAGTTACTCTTCTGGTCCTTATGATTCTTGAAATGCTCTAGTTCAGATATCAAAGCACAAGCCCAAGCTTCAGTAGAAACACTTTGATGTTCCTTCTTCGATTCATGGCTTGATATGGAGGAGATATCATTTGATATAGGTCCATAAATAGCCAGCTCTTCCTTCATTTCTGCATACAATCCTTCAATGCACTGGTAAGGTGAGTTAGCCTTCCATTCTTCTAACTCTTCCTTCAAACACATAATTTCAGCCTCCGCTTTCTTGTGAGCTAAATTTTGCATCAATTAACAAATTGCACAAAAGTTAGTTGGAAGGACTTTGCAGAAACAGGAAAAAAATTGAAAGAATCTTCAATACAACATGAATAAACAAAGAAATGAAGTTATCACCTGCAATGGCTTCTTCCGCCATTTTTGTGAACTTTGTGACTAATTCATCTTTAGCGTTGCACTCATCGAGAGCAGATGCTAACTTCTCATCAAGGCTTCTCATCGATTCCTCAACAACAATAGAGCATGTTCTAGTAGCCCTAAAAAATAAAAGCATGTGTTTAGTAATTCCAGATAACATACCTGGTTATTATTCTCATCACTTACATCTGATGAGTCATCACTCCGCTTTCAGTATTGCTCATGAGAAGATTATTTGTATAATAAGAATGTGATAAATACTTAAAAGAGGCAACTAAATAAAGAAGAGGTAAAATAATTTAGGGTGAAAATTAAAAGGAATTCGACACCAAATCCACAACAATAGACCTTTGGGTGGCACCATCATTTCCTGAGATAGAAGCTGCTTTTTTGCTTTCGGCTTTGCCACCAGAACTTCCCTTTGATTTTTCCCAGAAACATTTTCCTTCCCTTCAGATGCCTTTGCATCTGATTCAGCATTTGCCTGCACTGTACTTGGGGCCTAAACATGGAAAAAAATACAGAATGAAAAGCTTCTCTTGGAGCCTAAACAAGCATCTGATTCAATTTTCTTATGTTCCTATAATGTTTATAGAAGGAAAAGGAACAGAGAGTGACAAGCATAAGCTTTTACTTGTATTTTCTTTTCTTCTTTTTGGGAATCAAAATCTCGAGCTATACATAATGCATGCAAACACCATGTACACAACTACTTAAAATGTCAAGGAAACCAATAAATGGAATTTAGATGTATACTGAACCCATTGGCCTCTAGGATATTGAAGAAGATACACAGTTGCATACTGCAGCCAAAATGAGCCATCATGATGTGAAGCTAGTGCTTAGAATGCATCAGATGATCACCACAGTGTAAATATGCTATAGAACATTTGTATAGAGAAACAAAAATCGGAATATGCACATTGCTATCAATACCTTGAGGCTTATCCTCAGTGAATTAATAGATGTTTCTTTCAAGCACCTTTCACCTTCATTTCGATAAATCAAAACCTGGCAGATAGTACACACTAATTCAATCTTAGAAAAAACACATGTAAAAGTAACATTGTTCAAGAGGTCGACATAACCCTTAGCAATCTTAAGCTAATCATCTTGTTAATAACCCAGAAAACAAGCTAGGATGAAAGAATACCTTGGGTGTGGGGATCCTTTGATGGGCTTATGTCCATATTTCCGCCATGAATAATCATCGGGTGGAATGTCTGAAAGCTTCATGCTTATGGCTGGAACTCTTGTTACCCTCTTCAATCTTAGCTTTCTGTTTTGATTACCAGTAATAGAATCAGCGATTCATCGAGGATAATAATCATTAATGATTGACAGAGAAAGAAAAAAAAAACAAAAAAGAAAGGGAATTAATTTCTTTTTGAACAGTGGCATCGGCTGAAATTTAACTTCTGATTCAATCTCCAAACTATTATCTGATCTGCATACTGCCACCAAAATTGGACCACATCAAGATAGAGTGTAGATCAGTAGATGACTTGTATAACCATCCAGCAGATGTAATCACATACACAGTCAATTCTAGTCTAATTATAATATCACAAAACCAACAAAATTTTTCCTACTTCATCATTGGCAACTAAAAAGATTATAATTATTAGCAAAACCTCAGGTTTTTAAAAAATATAGTTTCAATAAGAAAGGGAAAGTTACGAACCTGAATTGGTTCAGTGCTGTGAGATTTGCAGTCCCAGACACGCAAAGATTTATCATAACCAGAAGATACAACTACAGTAGCATAATCATTAAACTTCACAGCATTCACCTGGCAATGATGTTGAAGAGGACAGTGTGAGGTAATAGTTGCAGACAATGCATTAATTTATAATACAGAAAGAAGTACATAATTACATATATATATATATATATATATATATATATATATATACTGTATATATATAGTTAATAATAAGGAGCAATGGTTCCAGGCATTAGAAGTGCAGATAAAATACACATTTTACTAAATATATACACATAAATATATACACACACATAGGTAACCTGTAAATTCTGTTCCATTTGGAGTCAAATGATACTTAAGTTCTACAGTCTTGATATTATTGGCATCATGTAGTGATCAAGTGTTTAAAAGATGAGCTTCAAATACAACATACATTTAAGGGTGAAAAATATATTATCATAATTGTAATTTTCAGTGGTTTCAAATTCACACAAACTCTCAAAACCATATATAGAAAAGTCATATATGCAATTCAAAGCACTAAAGCAATTCAAAACACACACCAAATTATATAGATGTTAGCACAAAATAATTATCAGGAAAGCTATAATACCAAATTACATACACCAAATTAACAGTTGCTACTTAGAAAAATTCAGCACAGAATCTAGATACAGCTCCAATCTTAGAGTTAAGATGCCTTTAAAGTATTGCATTTATATATATTATTACTCTGTATTTTTGCCAAAAAAAGAAAATGACACATGCTCTTTGATTGAACAATCTTTAAATGAAAGCAAGCAAAATTACATACCTATCAGCACCAAAACTCAGTTTGTTAAACTCCGCCAGTCTAGTGAAAGCAAGCAAAATTTCACCCTTACCTCCCCCGTCGGTTTGAGGCGACGACTAGCGAAAGGAGGAGCGTCGTCGGTTTGAGGCGATGCCTGCCGACTATAAGCTTGAATCTCCGGTTCTACTTCTTCCGGTGAGTATATTTTGAGAGAAAAGGGAGCAAATCCGTCCAGATCTGAGCCGTCCGATTCGGTTTTAGAGATTAGGAGAAGAAATAAATAACAAAAAATTCGAAGATTCGAAGGGAGACTTACCAGCGGTGGTGGAGGCCAGCACGCAGTGGCGGTGGCGGAGGCTAGTAGGGTCAGTAGTAGGTCGAGACGGAATGGCGACGTCGGCAGTTGCGTCTACTACAGGTCGCGGTGGTTCGCGGCGTTGGCGGAGGAGGCAACATCGGCTGAGAGATGGATGAGACGAAGGCTGAGATGAATAGTTTGAAGTAGCTGTAGTGGAGGAAATTATAAATGGTTTCAAGGGGTGACTGCTCGGTTGCTTGACCATCCGTTGATGGGAAACAATGTCCAAAAATTAGAGTCTCATTAACGGAGGCCTGTTGGTTATAAGTATTTTTTTTTTTTTAACAGTGTGAGGGCATTTTAGAGAAAGAATAAGCTTTCTCTCCGCTGCTTTTAGGAGGGTTTACAAGCGCCGCTTCTAACCACATTTAAATACTAGTCGGTATTTACTGACCACTACGAGAAAGTGGTCGGAAATTTCGACCACTTTCCGACTAGTGCAAACTTTGGACGAAAAAATTAAAAAAAATTCTTTTTCGTGACCACTTTTTTCGGTGGTCGAAATGAGGTCAGAAAAATGATAATTTCCAGCAGTGGTAGTACGTAAAATGTCATCAAGATGTGGACAATAATTTGGTCCTTCAATTCTAAACCTCAATTATATAGCATGCGACCCACCAATAATTAAAAATAAATGGTATAATTAGTAATAGTACAATTTAATTATAATAATGCTGTAAGCGACTAAGTAGCAAGGCCTGAAGGTGACATATGGCAATTATATGGGATGCAAAAGGAGAAGAGAGTATTTCAAAAAAAAAAAAAAAAAAAAAAAAAAAAAGAGAGAAAGGGTGGGTTTTAGCTAGCGGGGATGGCGACTGTTCATTTGCCCAATTGATATTGAAATCCGTGCAGTGGACTAAATTCATCACTTTTTTGTTCCTTTCATTTTCTAGTAGCGTGATGATTACTGCTCTCCCCCCCCCCCCCGCCCTACTTATCTTCCATTCTATGTGATGGTTAGTGCATATTAATGGCTAATTAGTCCACATCTGAGCGTAGTGCATCCATACTTTAAATAAATGGGGTATTATACAATAATAAGCTAGAAAAATATCAAGTATTTTGATACGATTTTGAAAGGTAAGAAAAAATACATATATAATAGAATTTTATGACATATTGTGGTATGAAAAATAGATACTTTTACGGGTTGGATAAATAAAAGTAATAATGGTATGCTTCCGTACGACTGAAGCAAACTCTTAGGAGATACAATATGATAAGAAATATTAGAGTTGAAGAAATTAAACACAAATGTAAAAAAAAATAGGTCTTGTTTGATTAATGACGGATCTGCCAAGACTTTGGCGGATTCATCAATTTTGACGTTTTGACTTGGTCAAAACGTCAAAATTTTCGTTTGGTTAGACAACGGAATATCAAAATTTTCGTTTGGTTAAACAGCGGTTCGGAGCAGCGTTTTTGCTCCGCTCCAAACCGCTGCAATTAGCAACGTTTGGGTTTGACGTTTTGGAGAACATTACTAGAAATTATGAAATTTCCGACCACCTTAAAATAATTTTAAATCAAGTTGAAAACCTTGTTCCGACCACTTTTGGTATCAAGAAAAACCTTTATTGCTATTTTCGACCACTTTTTCCTTTCGAATTGATTTAAAATCACTTTCAGGTGGTCAAAAATTTAGTAGAAAAAGAGGTCTTTCCCCAAAACACCCTTCGTATTATAATTTAAAAAATAAAAATAAAAAATAAAAAATTCAACTCATGCTTTGCCTCAAGTCTCCTCAATAATATTGAGGAGACTTGAGGCTGGTTTCTTCTTCCCATTCGATGTGGGACAACATCGAATGGGAAGAAGAAATTAAGGGGCCTTGAGGCTCCTTTTATAGAGGAGCCTCAAGGCCCCTCCAGTGTTATCCCAGTGATGTGGGATAACACTGAAATACAAAGGGGGGCCAATTTGGTCGCAAATTATGCTGTGCAACCGAATGCACCTTGCAAGGTGCATACGGTTGCAAAACGGCGCCGTTTTGGTTAAAAAAACGCGCGTCCCACTTAAAGAAGAAATCAGGTTCGATTCCCGGCAATAGCATTTTTATATATCCATAAATTCATAACTATATAACCACAATTTCATAACTATATATCCACAATTTCATAACTATATATCCACAGTGAATGAATGAAGTAAAAATCCACAATGAATGAATGAATGAAGTAAAAATCCACAATGAATGAACTAAATATCCACAATATATGATTGAACTAAATATCCACAATGAATGAACTAAATATCCATAAATTCATAACTATATAACCACAATTTCATAACTATATATCCACAATAATACTATTGCTGAGAGTCGAACCTGATTTTTTTTTTATAAAGTGGGACGCACGTTTTTAATCAAAACGACGTCGTTTTGAACCGTATGCACCATGCGCATGGTACATTCGGTTGCACGGCATAACTATTGCAATTTGGTTCCCCTTTGTATTGTATTTTTTTTTCAACAACAAAACTAAAACTAATAATTATAATAATTATTATAATAATTATAACAATAATAATAATAATAATATATTATAATTATAATTTTGTATTATTATTGTAGTTATTATAGCAATGTCCTTATATGTCTTTTTACATTTTAATCGCTGATCTAAACAGTTAATTTTATCAAGCATTTTTTTCTCTGATTACAAATCGCTAATACAATCTTCTGGTCAAATCCGCTAATACAATCTACTATCTAATACAATCTACTATTTGATAACCGCTAACACAATCCGCTGATAACCAAACAAGTCCATAGTGGCCTTGTTTGGTTATTGACGAATCCGTTAAAATTTTAACGAATCCGCTATTTCATGTCAAAACGGTAAAAATCTTGTTTGGTAAATGACAAATCGGAGCAATAGATTTACTCCAAACCATCCAAATCTGAAACGCTGCTATTAGCAGTTAATAGCAGCGTTTCATATTGGCGTTTTGGGCAAATGCCCTTAATTCTTTTTTAAAAAATAAAATTTGTTTCATTAACAGAAGCCTCAGGCTTCTAAATAAAGAAGCCTCTTTTATTCTTGCCCATCCGATGTGGGAATCAGATGTGCAGGATTAAATAAAGGGGAGCTCAACGCCCCCTTTTAGTTAATATTTCAATGTACATCAGTTTGTTTGTTTGTTTTTTTTAATTATTATTATTATTATTATTGTTATTATTATTATTACATGAGTTTTATTATTATTATTATTATTATTATTATTATTATACCCTTTTAATTTGGTATTTTATATGTTAACCGCTAATCTAAATAGCTAATTTTACCAAACATATTTTTACAAATCGCTAATACAATCTGATGGTCAAACCTGTTAACACAATTCGCTATTTGTTAACCGCTAATACAATCCGCTATCACTAATCGCTGATTGCCAAACAAGCCCAGTGGGATGTGAGAGGGAAATGGAGAAGGATACAAGTAACCATCCATATATTATTTTCTCTCTTTGAACAATACATTCCAGGCATGTGTATTTTACTAGGAATAAATTGTATATATAATACATTTTGATTATGCATGTTAAACAAGTTAGGAATTTAGAACTCCCAAATTTTCTTATTTTAATTCAACTTAATTAGTTTGTAAAGATAAAAGAACCAACTATAAAAATCAATCTAGATATAAACTCAAAACGCTTAATCAGATCAAACAAAATGTACATAAAGATACTTCTACAAAAGCAAAATAGTTAGAAGAAAAAATGATATCCAGGTTGGACTTCCATTTGGAAGGTTGTAAGTTCGAGCCTCAATGGAGGCGTTATTAGCTCTTTGTGTTTCAGTAGGTTGAGAAAGTATATGAACAGATACTACAATGTAATAGAGCTAGTAGCATTCAAAAAAGAAGAAAAAATGATGAAAATTCTAAGGCAGAAAGATGATTAGATCAACAAAAATGTTAAAAGGCCATATAAAAGTAAAGTAGCAGAGTTCGATTCAAAATTTAAATCTTAAACCCGAAACTCGAACAGATTAATTACAATGATTTTTGCCTTTCTTATAATGGTCGACCCGTTACCTATCGAATCTGACCTGTATTGGGTTAAACGGGTCGAACCCGCGAGTTTTTCAGGTTAGACCCGATTAATGCCCACTCCTAGGATTTTGAAGGGAATGTGACATTTCAAAGCTCACATTCCTATGTTTGGTTCACATTATCTCAGGGAATCTAACATTCCCCAGGAATGTCACATTCCCTCCATATAGGATTTTGAAGGGAATGTGATTCCCTTCAATTTCTAAGGTTATGTAAGATAACCTTGGTTATGTTAGTTTATTACACACACACACATAATTATTTTTGTAATTATATATTTTTTATTTTTATTATCTTAGGTTAGCATATAAAATAATTTTGTTTCTCAAGTTCAATATTTTAGTTAATATTTTAAAATCATGTAATTATATATGATACCGTTATCTTATTTATTTATTTTAATTTTTAAATTTATTGAAATATATGAAAATATGTTAAGGATATTATAGTGTGTGAATAAAAGATAACCCTAAACCAAACATGATGATATTACATACATCAATTTTAACCAAACATACCAAACACGGGAATCTAACATTCCCAGTAATCTAACATTCCCAGCAATCTAACATTCCCTAAGGTAATCTGACATTCCGTGAACCAAACGACCCCGGTAAGGTAAAAAGCAAACAATTCAAAAAGGTGAATACAACAGAATGGTAGGTAGAAGATAGAGTAATTTTCAAAAGATGAAATAGAAAAATCTTCTTTTTGAAATTTAATTTGTTGTTTTAAATAACAAAATGCATTGAAATGCATGTAAATTAAATGATATATTCACCTTACTCCAATTTTTGGCTATTGACATGTAACTCAAGGAAGATATTACTAGAATTGGTAATTAAGATGCTTAGAAATCAAGAAACCACAAAATGCACTAACATTTACTTACAGCCAACAAACGCTTGGCTATAATAAGATGTCGAGTTAATACGCAAAATCGTCCTCGACTATAGTGGTTTTTCTCAATTTCGTCCTAAACGACTTTGGTGACCTAATATCGTCCCAGACTTTTGTGTTTCGCTCAATTTAGTCCTCCATTTGTTATTCCGTCAAATTGGTGTTAAATAAAGGGACAATTCAGTAATGTCAATATTGATCTCTCTTTACTTTCAACTTGTGAAGTGCGGAATTCCTCTTTCTTGTACGA